GTTGTTTACGATTTTTTTGTTATCATCATCATCGTCGTCGTCGTCGTCATTTTCAATTATTAAATAACTCACAACGGTTTCTGTGTTGTTGTTATTGTTGGCGTTGTTGTTGTCTTTGCTTGCCTTGATGTCTTTGCTGTTGTTGTTGTTTTCATTGTTTGCTATGATGTCATTACCGTTGTTGTTGTTGTTGTAATTTGCGCCCATTTTATTGTTGACGTCATTGTTATTAATCATATTAGCATTGGTGTTACCCGATCTATTGCTGTGACGACTCTGATTTCGGCTGTTGTTGTTGCTTTTGTTGATGTCGTTGATTATGTTGCTGTTGTTGTTGTTATTGTTGTTTTTAAGATTATTATCATTAGTCTCTTCGTTATTTTTGTTAATGTAATTAATTTTATTTTTGTTGATGTTTTCATTTTTGTTGAACAAATTGTTGTAACTTTCAATATAACTCTTGACTCTGTTGTTCCGTCCTATTGTCTGATTGTTGTAACTGATGTTGTTGTTGTTGTTGATGATGTTGTTGTTGATGTTGTTGTTGTTGTTGATATTGTTTATGTTGATGTTATCATCGTTATTAATGTTCTCTCTTCTGATCAACAAAGGCGGTTCTTTATTCTTGGAGGCTAGATTCGTTGTTGTTGTTTTTATTCTATCCCGTAGACTCATCCAAGCTGGATTATTGCGTTTGATTGCAGGGCTGTTGTTGTTGCTGTTGTTGTTGTCATCGTTGATAATTTTATATCTGTTGTTGTTGTTGCTGCTGCTGTTGGTGTTGTTGTTGATGCTGCTGTTGTTGTTCGTTTGTTTGAAGAGAGCATGTAATTTAGATAACGTCGATTGCTCTTTATAAGTATCATTCGATATATGGGAGACATCTGTGCTACATATGTTGTTGTTTTTGTTGCTGTTGTTCTTGTTGCTGTTACTGTTGTTGTTGCTGCTCTTGTTGTTGTTGCTATTATTATTACTGTTGCTGTCATCCATTATGTTAGTTGATGTTATTGTTGCTGCTGATGTTGTTGTTGCTATTGTTGTTGCTGTTGTTGTTGATGATGTTGTTGTTGTTGGTGTTGTATTGTTTTTTTGCTTTGGCTTTTAACGTTTTAATACATATTTTCTGTATGTAATTACTATTTATATTGTTTTATGAAGATGACGACGAAGACGACAATGATGATAATGATATTGACGATGATGATGACGACGATGATAATGATGATGGTGATGATTGTACCATCAAATATGATGAAGATTGACAAGCTGAGGTTGAAGATGACGATGACAAAAAGTAGATAAACCATATGATTAATATTAATGCCAACGTAGAATATGAAGAAGAAGACGACGACGATGATAAAATGGTGATAATATTTAATGATGTATATTAAAATATAATTATACATACAATACTAACAATTGTATTTTTTCTAATTCGTTTGTATAGTCTGTTGAGTTAAGGTAATTATGAATGCATTATCATATGTATTTTATATATACATATATATGAGTGTATATCTGTGTGTGTGTGTGTATGTGTGTGAGTGAGTGTATGTATTATATATATATATATCTTCACAGTCAAACAATAAAATTCTGACTGAACATTGCTGAAGTCCAAGATTTCTTATACAATATTATCACGTAGGTGTATATGTTTCTCTCTCTCTCTCTCTCTCTCTCTTTCTTTTTCTCTCTCTCTTTTTCTCTCTATCTTTCTCTTTTCTATCTTTCTGTATATATATATATATATATATATATATATATATATATATATGTATATATATATATATCACACTCATTTGATTGTTTAGGCTGCTATTGTTTAGTTGTCGTGTCACATGATGATGATGATGATGATGATGATGATGATGATATGGTGGTAATGATGATGATATGGTGGTGATGATGATGATGATGTGGCGGTGGTGATAATGATGGTGATGATGATGATTTTCACGATTATTATTTTGCGTTAATTTTTTTTCTGGTACTGCTAATTAATTTTTTGTAGAATAATACCATCGTTTGGTTATATTAATCAATTCATCAATTAATTTGTCAATTGCTTTAAATTATATTCACATACAAACATACATACATACATACATGCATACATACATACATACATACATACATACATACGAAACGAAATTTTATTTGATTCCCAAAATTAATAGAATTAATTATAAGAATGCAGGCTGACTGTAATCGAGCCCACTAATTGAGCTCATCTAGCACAGCCACCTTTACATAAATGTCTATATTTTGTCAAGATTTTAACAATGATGTTCATACATTAAAAATATATGTTCAAATTAAGTATAGTCCAAACATAAATATTAGTTCATTATAATATAGTTAGTTACATTAAATAACTGAAAATCTGAAATAAAATAATTCAAAATGTAATTTCTATGTAAAATGTAACTTTTAAATGTAATTATTTTTTTTCCAAAGATTGTAAGTCATCGTATCATTTTTTATCGAGTAGCTGATGCAAATGACCAGTTTCTAACTCGCACATGTTCAGACCAGGTACATTCCTTGTTAATCATATCCGAGTACTTGGCATCCACACAGAGTCAAAAGGAAGTGGAGGGCTGCGAATCATCTGGCTTGACACCATTTTTGTCTTTTTTGAACGCAGGGAAACATGAAACTACTTCCACCTGACTTAACCTGAGATGATCAACTACATCTGACGCCACACATTTTGTCACGTTGCCGATATGAAATATTCTGTTTTGAAAAACTAATTTATTTGCCGTAATCTTCGATTCCGTTGGTGCACGAGAGCCTACAACTAGCCTCGGCACAGAATTAGAATTATCATTACGATTCGGATGATTGTTTCTTTTTTTGCGCTTAACTAAAACAAAATTGTCACATTCCGAATCACTTTCAATTGTAGACTTTATTGAATTTAATGGCAAATCACTTTTTTTCTGTACTAAAATTTTGCTGTGCGTACCTGTAACTGTAATGGCTTTGTTTACATTTACCGGTGAAATTGTTTTCAACGAATTCGTATCAACGTTTTCTGCATTTATTACAAGTTGTTTCTCAACCAGCTGCTGTACGCTCTTTTGAATTCCATTAAGCAAATTAGTTTGGCTATCAAGCTGTTCAAAAATGGCTGGTTTAATGTTTAATCTTTTCGAAATCCATATCAACATTATAATAAAAATGTCTGTTGCAAAGAGTTGTTCTAATAAGAGTATTGGTTACGAAATATGAATGAAAATCATCCTGATAATCATTATCAAAAATAAATTTGACAGAGTCCACCAATTCTGAAATATGTTTCGCTTTTTCACAATTCTTTGAAAATTCCGGCAGAATTAATTCAATTGACTCTCCATCTTCTCGGCCTCCGTTAACAACAATTTTTTACTTGCAACCACATCCTCAACTTTGAAATATTTATATAAAGAAATTTTCAACTGATTATCTTTCAAACTGTCACCGCAATTCCATTATACATACATACATACATACATACATACACACACACACACACACACACACACACACACACACACACACACACACACACACACACACACACACACACACACACACACACACACACACACATACATACATACATACATACATACACACACACATACATACATACATACATACATGCATATGATAATGATGATGGTGACGACGATGATGATGATGACGATAACGATTATGATAATGATGATGATGAAAATGATGACTATGACAACAATATTGGTGGTTATACACACAACATTCATAAATTTATGTTCTCCGAACATACAAAAGTCAAATAAGTTTAGCCACACACATTCAAATTATCTTTCTCACACACACACATACACACACGCGCGCGCACACACACACACACACGCACACTTTACATTTATT